CTGTAAGAGTATATGTGAGGATTTTCTCATTATTTAATTTGCTCACATTGCAAGTGGATTGAATGCTGGAGATAAACCATTAATATTTTATATAGAAGTCAGTCTGATAGAGCTTTGTGTATTGTGATGATCTCAAGACTGACAGATGCTTTACAGGTGTTGGGTTGAGAATAGTTATATCAAGAAATTCACTTCACAAGTGCTTTTGGGTGATCTGGAGAGTATTCAACTTTTCTTGTTATTTTGCCATTCTCTTTAGTAGTTTGGTTTTCTTGTGAAGTCATTGAATTTTATCTCTTGATGCTAAGATAGACTCCCTCTCTGAGATCATAATACTAGTTTCAGTTTCATCCACAGTTGAGAGAGTTGAGATGGTTTCAAGATTTGTCATCTCCTCACAAACTTGAATTTGTTCTTCAGATAGGTTTTCTGCTGGTGTCTCAGATTCATAAGCTTCAGAAGGTTGGCTTCTTCATGTTGATATCATTGTCAGGCATCACTAAAGAAGAGTGGCAAAATGTGAGAATCATACATGTGAATTGGTGTGACAATAAATCTATAGAAGGAATTGTATGTAGAAAAGAGTATATAAGGTAAAAGATCTGGTATTGGCAGCTATATACAACTTGTAGACAAGATGGCCACTGGCTCCCAATAAGAGATTTGTGCAGTGGCAGTCTTTTATGTGTGCTTGTGAGCATGTGACTTAGTACCTCACAAGAACACATGTACTTTCAACAGCTTGCAAGCTCAGGCCCTGGGCCCTCATGGATGTTGTTCATCTGTGTAAGGGGTTTACAGGCAAATTCTTACATACTTCTTTTCTTTCATGTTCTTTGAGTTCAGAAGTTTTGTGATGAAGTCTATTACTATAGATTTTCATGGTTCTTACAGTTGTAGTATTGATTGCAGTTTTTCATATGATTGGTGTTTATTAGTTTTGCTTCATGCATACATCTCATATTCTTTAATATGTTGTTAAATATTCATTCATATTCCTGGCCAATAGTAAGTTCTTATAATCTTCTTCATTGTCTTGTCAGTTCTAAAATGTCTTGAAGTAACTGTATTATATTCTTGTACCATTACTTGTTTTCTGACTTCTTTAGATACATATATCAGTTCATGATATAGTATTATTTCATCTTCTTTCTTGAAGTTTTCATTTTCTTTGTCAATCTTTCTTGCATATTTATCTTTTCTCATTACTTCTTTAATTCTTTCTTCAATATTTAATTCTTCTGTAATGATTCTTCTTACTCTTAATGTTTGTTGATCCAGAATCATATTCTTTGTTTCTTTCAATTCTTTAAAGAGTGTTTTTGAGTCTTGTTCTTTTTTCATCAGATCTGGTCTTCAGCTTAGCATATTCACCCAGGCATTCTCTGTATCTTTGCAGTGTTTTATCTTGAAGTTATAGTGTACTACTATATCTGCATACCATCTGGCTTGTCTTCTCATAAGCTCTTTTGTTGTCATGAAGTATTATAGATTGTCATGATCTGAGATAATTTCTGTTTGATATTGATTTTCTTGCAGTTTAATCTTTTATTTCTTCAGTGACACTACTATTGCTAGTAGTTCTTTATTATGAATATTATAGTTCTGTTTAACTGGTGTCATCATTCTTGTATAGCATGCAACTAATCTCAGTCTTTCTTGTTCATCTGGTTGTTATAGTCTTCTCACTATCATGCAATCTAATGCATCTGTATTAATTATACATCTTTTTGACAGATTATAGTGCCTTCTCATTTCTTCTTTCCTGAATTTGTCTTTTATTACTTTAAATGCTTGTTGGCACTCTGTTATCTATTTGAATAGTTTATTTTTCTTGAATAGCTGTATCAGCAGTCTTGCTTCCTTCAAAAATTCATGTATAAATTATTGATAGTAGTTCACTAGTCTGTAGAGCACTTCTCTAACTTCTTTTAATGTTGACCACTGTAGTATTTCATTAATGTTTTCTGGCTTCATTCTTATTTCTTCTATTGACATAATGTGTTCAAGATATCTAATTTCTTTCTTATAAAAGTTACACTTTTTTAGTTTTGCAGGTAGATTATACTTCTGTAGTTTTTCTAGTACTTTCTTGATCTTTACAGTGTGATTCTTTCAGTCTTCTTTGGTGTATATAACCACATTATCAAGATATGCAATGACAAAGTCATTCAGGTACTCTTATAGTACATTATTGATTAGTCCTTGAAATGTTACTGGTACATTTGTAAGTTCAAATAGCATGATGTTGTATTTATACAGTCTGTATTATATTCTGAAAGCTGTCTTCCATTTGTCATCTTCTTTAATTCATATCTGATGGTAGATGTCTTTAATGTTAATTAGAGTAAATCATGTTACTCTTCTCAATCTGTCTTGCACTTCTTTAATCAGTGGTATCAGATAACAGTTTTTGACTGTAATGCTGTTCAACTGTCTATAATTTACATATAATTATAGGGTTCTGTCTTTCTTTAATGCAAACAGTATTGGATATTCTGCTGATAGCATTAACTCTTTTATATAATCTTTCTGAAGATTATCTTTAATATATTTCTTTACTTCAGCTGATTCTTTTTTGTTCAATCTGTATATTAATAGTTTTCTTAGTTGTTTTCCTTCTTATAGCTTTATCTCATGATTTCAGAATTCATGCTTTAGTAAGCTGTTGCTCTAATTTCTTTCTCTGAATACATCAATGTATTCCTAAAATTCTTTTAGTAGAGTTTTTTTAATTTCTTTATTGTGGTTATTCTTTCATACTTGCAGCTGCATCAAGTTATTAGAATTCTTTATAGTTTGATCTGCTTTTTCATTATGAATCAGGTTTTCATAGATTTCTTTAATATTAATTAATTGTTCTTCACACAGTATCTTCTGATTAACCTGACCTATCATGGCCAGTATCTTATCTAAGTTATTTCTGAGATTATATTATAGTTCTCTAGATTCATCACTTCAAAATACACTTTCTTATAATGTTGTTCTATTCTCATTTTAATAGAATATATTTCTTCTTTAACTCTATCCAGAGTTTCTTCTTCCAGTTCTGATAACTGGTAGAGATATTTCTTTATTCACTTCACAATGCCAGCTTATTCAGTGAATCTTCTGTTAATAAATAGTTTAGTCACTTCTGAGTCCACTAAGATTATTGCACACTTTGATTCAAGTAAGACTACTGTAACTCTGAGATAATAGATTTATCTGTTAGTGACTAACAGTTTTGCTTGTCTATTTATACTGCTTACAGACTCTTATTTATAGCAGTTCACTTATTTTCCAAATTAACAAGAGTTATCTTGAGTGCCATTTGTGTATTATGTAATTTTCTTTATTAGTATACCAGATTTTGTGTATTCTTTATACATACTTGTTGTCTCTGCATTCTGTACAGGTTTCACATTCTTCTAAATCATGCAGAGATCTTGTTATTTTTCAAAATTTCTTGTTTTCATGGAATTTGCATTAACATTTGTACTCAAATTTATTATAACAAGAGTAGTCTCATTCTTCCATCTTTTTTTGTTTTTCACTCCAGTGCTGTTTATATATTGTTATCACTAATAATCTGTTATTTTCTTCACATATTATTCAGTATAATTAATTGTCTTGAATCTGTAATATTCTTGCTATTAAGCATTTTTTCTCTTCATCTTACTTTCTGTAAGACTCAATTTTTTCATGATATCTTCTTTATGTTTCTCAAATTTTGGTATTTTCCAGCTTAGCTCTTTTTTTAATTTCAGTGTGAGTTTTTCTTTCTTGTTCAACTAATATTCTTCATTATTACTGTTGTCTTGTTTCTGGATTGCTTGCAGCTTCTTCAGTAGTTGTAAGTAATATTCATCATTTTTTTTATCTTAATGAATAAAGTAATTATTCTTATAATAAAAGCTTTAATAAATTCTGACATGGTCTGAATGTTTCATATATAAGATATTTTATAAGTCTGATATCTTTTATTCTTCTTTCTCAGTATTGCATCTGCAATACTGGTAATTTTTGATGTCACAGCTATAGTCTTTATGATACATGAAGTCTTCTGTAACTCATATCTATTATTTGAACTCTTCTTGTTATTTCTAGTGAAGTTCACATGAACATCTATAGATTGAGTATTAGACATATTTTTTGTGTTTTGAGTCTTAAATTTTGTCCATTTTTCATCTGTAATGATATTTACAGTCAAGTGATCAAATTTTCTAATTATTACTTGATTTATTTCTTGTTCTCATATATAGTTCTTCATATAACTCTCATTATTTATCATTCAGCTTGTTTTGATATTTTGATTTACTTTCTGGCTGCTGGAGTAGCTTCAGGTAAGCTTTTATAATTTGATCTTCAAGTATCTCTCTGAACTATTGTTAAAGTTCTTCTTTAGTTTGCTCTTTCTGAGTTATTACTTGAAGATGCTGTTTAACTTCAGAGTCTTCTTTATTTTTTTTTGAGATTACTCTGAGTTTCTTGTCTTTTTAATTTGTCTTCTTTGCTTTGTATTGTCTCACTTAGTGTTTCAGCTTGATATAATAGAAGTATACTTTTTTCTTTTTCCTTCATTCTTTTTCTTTCTCATCAAGAGTGTCAAACTTCATTATATCCAGCTTTATAGATGTATATTTATAAGAATCCAGTTGTACTTGCTTGCTCCAGCCTCAATTTTCCATATAATTTAACAGACTGACTCTCTTTCATGATGCTTTTTCTTGTTTTTCTATCTTTCATTCATAAAGTCAGTTTCCAATTCTGACTGCTACTTTAATCATTTTGGTCAGAGTGTGTGATCATCTTTTTAATTATATTATTTTGTCTTTGATCTCATCAAATAGTTCTTGGTAGAAGATGTCAGCTAAGACTTTGTTATCCCAATTAGTATTGATACAGACTTGCTGAAATCTTATAGCATAGTCTTGTGATGATGTCTTTTATTATATATGATATAGCTGCTAGGTTGCCACATTCTGTTTCTCAACTTCTCTGAAAGTGGTTTTCAATGTTTAAATAAAGATGCTATAACTGTTAATAATCTTAAGCATATTATTATTCTGATTATCTTCATCTTTCTTGTAGTAATTTTGCAGATAGATATCAAACCAATCAAATACTGCTCTATAAAGATATAATACTGTTATTATTATCTTGTTCTTGTTGCTGTTAAGTTCTTTGCCTTTTATATTCATGTAAATGCATAATTGTCTCAAGAAAGCTTGTAATTTTTCTTGCTCACTCTTGAAGAGTTCTAGTGAATTAACTTTAGCTTTATCTTTCTTTTCCTGTTGTTTAGTAGATGAGATAGTCATGATCTGGGCCTTAAGCTGCTCATTATAGTCTTTCAATTCATGATTCTGCTCTTCAAGTTTCTCAGTAATCTGTTCAAGCTGCAAGATCCTATTTATAAGATCTTGAGTGTTGATAGCTGGTGCTTTGAATGCAGATATAGTTTCTATATTCTATTAAATCTTGATGTGGAGTGAAATCATATCTTTATCTTTTGACATGATATGGAAAGTTCTTTCTTTGTATGTAATCTCTGAGATCTTAGATGTATTCTCTTCTGAGTCAGAGATGATTAATATGTTATATATTTGTGTGACACTCTTGAATCTTTGAGGGTCACAAAGTGTTACAGTAAGTAATAACAGATTAAGATAGTAATCAATAGTTTAATGGTGCTCTGGTTGAGCCAGCAGTCTTGCTCTAATGACAAAGAATTTCCATGCAGGTGTATCAGAGTCAGGGCAAGACTATAGAGCCTTCTCAAGAGTAGCAGAGTCAGGTACAGTTGTACAGTATTACAGAACTTCAGTAGTATGAAAAGTAACCAAGATATAAAAGTATCTGATTTAAAGATATCTAGTAGATAAGTAAGAAGATTAATCATAATAAACAAGTCTATTAGATCTCTGGTAATAAGTATTCTTATATACATGATGCTTCTCTGGTGATAGTTTCACTAAGCTGTTCTATCTGTTCTACTACAATATGTTTGCTATGTCCTCCAATTCATCCTATCATGCTCAGTGCAATCAGTCAGCTTATCAGTTCTATTGCTGGTCACATGATTCTTGTCTTAAGATTCTTCTGCAACAGTTCATGATTTCATCTTCTCAGATATCATTCAATCATTCTGTGTGTTCTGTCATTGTGCTGCAGGATTCATAACAATATTTATATAGATGCATAGTTGTCTCAAGAAAGCTTGTAATTTTTCTTGTTTGCTCTTGAAGAGTTCTGATGAATTAACTTTGACTTTATCTTTCTTTTTCTGTTGTTCAGTAAACAGAATGATCATGGTCTGGATCTCAAGCTGCTTATTATGATTTTTCAATTCATGATTCTGCTCTTCAAGTTTCTCAGTAATTTGTTCAAGCTGCAAGATTCTATTTATAAGATCTTGAGTGTTGACAGCTGGTGCTTTAAATGCAGATATAGTCTCTATATTCTGTTAGATTTTGATGTGAAGTGAAATTGTATCTTTATCTTTTAATATAATGCAGAAAGTTCTTTTTTTGTATGTATTCTCTGAGATCTCAGATGTATTCTCTCCTGAATCAGGAGTGATTAATATGTTATGTATTCACATGATATTCTGAGATCAAAGAATATTACAGTAAGTAACAACAGATTGAAATAGTAATCAATAGTTTAATAGTGTTTCAGTTAAGCCAGCAGTCTTGCTCTGATGACAAAGAGTTTCCATGCAGGTGTAACAGAGTTAGAGCAAGACTATAGAATCTTCTTAAGAGTAGCAGAATCAGGTACAGTTGTATAGTATTACAGGACTTCAGTAGTATAGAAAGTAATCAAGATATGAAAGTATCTGATTGAAAGATATCTAGTAGATAAGTAAGAAGATTAATCACAATGAACAAGTTCATCAGATCTCTGGTAATGAGCATTCTTATATACATGATGCTTCTCTGGTGATAGTTCTGCTAAGCTGTTCTATTCATTCTACTGCAATATGTTTGCTATATTTTCTGATTAATTCTATTGTGCTCAGTACAATTAGTCAGCTTATCAGCTCTATTACTGGTTATATGATTCTCATCTTAAAGTTCTTCTGTAACAGTTCATGATTCTGTCTTGTCAGGTTTTATCTAATCATTCTGTGTTCTGTTGTTGTGTTGCAGAATTCATAACATCCAGCATTTCATCAGGCTCTGCACATGTATAAACTAGAATCTCTGATAGATTATTCATTATAGTTGAGATGTAGGTCTCAGCTAACTGATTACTCAATGAATTCTCTAGTTGTAAATGAAAATTAGAATCTTTATTATTAACTAGATACACTGAATGTAATATAGTCTGTAACCAGAGTTTGAATTCAGGCTTTTCATACTGTTGTGATTTATTGTTATCAACTGATTTTATAGGTAGAGCTGCCACTGCTGCTTATATAATCTTCTGCATTCTGATATCTTCTGGTTCAGAATGAGTGTTGAATAAAGTATTGAATGAAGTATTAGAGATATCTGAAAGACTTGCTGCATTCTGTATACAGTAATTAAAATAATACAGGCTGATAGAGAATTCAAGATCTTATACCTAATTCTGACTTCTCAGTTTAATTATTTAACTGAATATTGAGTTCTACTGAAGATAAAACATAATTATAATCTTGTAATTCTTGCAATAAATAAGCAGACTGTCTGTATCTTTAAAACTATAAGACTAGAAATAATAAATAAAGTTATCTTCTTTAAAATATATAGTTCTTTATGTGCCTCAAGTATCTTGAATTATGTATATTTGCTCAAGATTTATATGCTGGTTTCTGCAGTAGTTAAGTTTCAAGTTGCAGAAATAGTAAGAGTTGCTGTGGAATTTCTTTAGAACAAAGTATATAGAAAGTAGAAAGAAAATTACTGTTTAATTAGGAAATCAGATGTATTATAGCAAAATTAAATGTTAGAGCAGCTATAAAATATGCCAACTGTACTACAGATCAACTGTAATATCTCAATCATCTAGATCTGTAATTAACTCTAAGAAATGCAAGATCAGTAATGATCTGCATTCTTCTAAATGATTAACTTATTTTAAAGAAATCAATTACTTAGCAGCATTGAATTTTAGAATGTAGAAGAATATAGATACAGATCTGAATAGCAACTTGAGTAGTTAAATATGCTCCAAGTCAACTATATAATAGATAGTGAACTTCTCTAAAATTCAAGCATTCATTCTATTTATTCTTAACAGCAATCTGATAGCTAAAATATCAGAAATACAGAGTACACCAGCACTAAAAAGAACAGCTTGCATCTTCTTATAAACTCAATTATATAATATACTAAAGGCTTAAAAGATATCATTCAGTTCAAATACAAGTACCTGAACTGAAGTATTCTCTGATTATACAGAGATTAAAAAGCAGGTTTGAGTAGTGGAGCATAAGATATAAAATTAGGTGTAATAAGCCTATATATTAACATTAAATACTGATTTGATTTCTAATACTATTTAGAAGATGCTGGGTCTTAAGAACTGGAAAGCTAAAAATGACTCATATTTTTATAAACTTTTCAGATGCATGTTAGATCTCTGTAAAGATTAGAAATGTAAGATTTTAAGTAGCTTGAAGATCAGAACAATGTTTCTAAACTTCTAGTTATGATATAAACTGATCTTATTTACAGAATTATATCAGAAAATATATTAAACTTAGCTTGACTGAAAATTCTGATTTCAGACTTTATGAAATAACTGATTAACAAAAGCTAATTAGCTATTTTACTTAATTATTCAAGTGAAACTAATTCTGTAAAGTTTTTTACTGAATCAAGCTGTATATTAATTTTGAGAAGTCAGCTTCACAAGAAAAATAATATTTTGAATGTAAGTTAATAATAAATCTTAATTACCATAGTTTCTGCTCTGACAGTTATGATAATAGAGATATATGCAAATTTAGCAGCATATATAAAGCTGTATCTTGATAACAACAGTTTAAAACAGAATGCATTTATTTTGTTAATCTACATCTGAAATTCTGTACTCTAGCTCTGAAACTGCTTAATACAGAAACCAGAACTGAGAGATATTAATTCAGATAACTTTATCTGACAGAAGATCTGATCAAGAATGCTAAAGACTATTTATATTAAGACTTTGCCAGAAATTCTGAATGTGGTCCAGTTAATATCTAGTATGCTATTCAGAGAACCTGATTTATATCTGGCTCAGGCAGTGCAAGCTCTGCAGAAGCCAGAGAATGATAATTCAGATAAAAAGAATTAGAATTCTTTGCAGAATATTATGAAGAATTACTTTAAAACTATAATAAATTAATCTGTCTGTTTAAAGAGATCTGTATCAGCTGCAACTGATTACATGCTTTAAAAGAGATACAGATTCTAGTTAAATACATGAAAAGATATCTTCTCAGATTAAAATTAGTTATTAGTTTGTGCTTTAAAATAGATTTTGAAGTTTGATATCTAGACTTTAATGCAATACTCTATTATATTAATGCTTGCAAGAGCTGAATTTTACTATATTTAATATATATCTTTTTATTATTTACTGTAATCAGCTGTAGAACCTCTAAGTAAAATAAGTTAGTACTTAGTAATGTATAAATAGATATGTTCTAATTAGGAAATTCAAAATAATCAAGTAAACATACTAGATATAATAATTTCTTTTTATATAAAATCTCTCTCTTCTTCTCTTCTTTTCTTTCTTTTCTTCTCTTAAGCTTATTATATTTCTTGTTATTTCTCTTTCTCTATTTCAATATTAAGATAAGTGGTAAATTTCAGAATAAAATAAGAAACTGCAGCAAACTAAAAAATAATATATACAAAACTAGTAAAAAATAACTTTGCAAATGTGTAAATTAGCAGCAGCTTAGAATGAGCACTTCTCAATATTTATAAAGAAGAAGCCAGAGTGAAAGCTCTTGACTATTAAAGAAAAGCTTACTATAATAAATAATATACTCTGTGACTGCTGTTTGATGTTTGTTTATACAATATATATTAAAAACTCTTGTTTCTGTAAGCAAGAAATTATGAAGACCTGTATTAATTATGCAAAAAATAAAAAAGTCTATACTTCTATTTCTTTAGAGCTGTAGAAGAAAGTAGCAGTATTACTGTCTGACTATAATAATTTTCTCAGACTTAAGAATGTGATGCTCTAAGAGAAATTGAAAGCCAGTATAATAGAACAAACTGCTGATCTTAGTAAATTGCTTGCCAAAATGGCATCTCTGTCAGTCTGAACTAATGAATTCTTCTCTTCTTCTCTTTTTAATGCTGAAGTTGATGCTGTCACTTTAGCAGTATTAGAAAAGCTTGTGTCTATTCAAGCTAAATAAAAAGAGCTTGCAGAGCACACATTCTGCTGAATCAAAATAGATTAAACTGATTGAGAGATTATACATTCAACTCATGCTAATATAGTTATATATATAGAATATTGAAAGAATCTTGACTGATATTTATTAGAATTTAAAGTTCAATTGTTTATCTTCTGTAATTAGTATACTTGATGTAATATTAAATAAATTAAACTAACTTTAATATTTGATGACAGAAAAAGTAAAAGATAGAAGAAACTATCTGTAAATCAGTAATTAAGATAAACTGATTTGCTGCTGTTCTGCTCTCTGCTGTATCTGCTTTTCTCTCTCTCTCCTCTACTCTAATCATGTCTTCTCTCTTTGTTCAGTTACAGCCAAATATATCTGTATCAGACCTATCTTTAACTAGAGATGCTGATTTGCTTGAAAGTATGATCAAGTAGTCTGAATAAGCTTGCTCTGATGATTCTTCTGTGCTAGTTTTACATCCTGTTCCTGAACCAGAGACTCCAACTGGTGAGACTCCTGAAAATTAAAAAAAAAAAAAAAAATTCATTACAATTTGGGTTGGGTTTTGTAAACACTTAGTAGTTAATTTCTAGTAATTAAAAAGCTTCTGAATTGGGTTCAAAACCCTCAATTGGTGCATTATATATTCTGAATTCTATATGTTTCAGACCCTTTATACATGCATTGTAAATATACAGTTGACCTACAGTTTCAAGCTTCTGACCCATGGTTCAACAGGTTGTGTTGGATAAATGTTTTCTGATGGTTGCCCGAAAAGCTCATTTTTCCGGTATGGCAGAAGGGAAAGATCACGTGTTACCAGCGGCCCGCCGAAAAAGGCATCAGGGGCCGCACAAGAAGGCAGGATAAATCCAAAAAATTATCTTGAAAAAAAAAGAAATATGAAAAGAACGCCGGTTGCCACAGGTTTGATCATGGCCACAGTCAAAATTCTGGCAGAACCATTGATTATTATCAATTTTCATAGGTTTGCAACTCGTGCATAATCGTGGGACAAGGATATCACGAACTCGATCGTGGGCGTCATGAAGCCATGTGCATATTGATATTGAAGCGTATAACGAGGTATGTACAGGTCTCTTGACGGAACACATCGCAAGTGCATTATTCCGTACCATGGATGAAAACTAAATAACATGGGGATGATCATAAAAGCAGCATCTCTACCATGAAGTCGTCAATAATGATACCTGAGAGAAAGTGTTTCACCATGCCAGTCCATCTAACAAAGTAATCCAAGAGTGGCGAGATCACTCTTCCCGTGAGTTGGACCGGAGGGAATTATGAAAGGATGGTTTAGGCTCCTAAACTCTCGAATGTAGAGAACGTTTGTCTCGATATGTAAAAGCAAGAAGTGTGAGAAAGAAAAGAGAATCCCGAATAAAGCTCCCGGATCATGTCGCGTCCAAGTCAAGGAAATACATGTCGCTAGCTTAAATAGATCTAGAGATCTTTCCGGTTACCGGGTTTGCTCCCTTCAGCATTTGGGTCAACAATAGGCGAAGAGGCACTGCTCTGGCTATGGGCCCGGACATGGAATCGATGTCCTGAATGAATCGACGCGAACCCGAAAACTTTTTTCACCGCACCAGTGACGTTAGAACTAATTGACTTCCTGCGACTTGTGTGTTCTTCCGCCGGTGCCGGCGGTGCAGCGAGAATCGCCGCTATAGCTTTACCATTCGATTCAGTTTGCAACTGAGGTCGCTTCTTTCTCACCACGGGAACGTCCTTGGTGATTGTGGGCTTCGGGGGCCATTGTCCTTCCCTTTTCCAGCCTTGCACAAGAGCTCGCGTCATATGTAGCAGATTTACAGGCACGGCTGGCATGTTCCCTTCGATGACGAGTTTGTTATAGATGGCAGGGTAATTTGATGGCGTGGTGTAGGTACGGAAAGGGTTGGAGCTGGGAAGAATAGGCGGGACGATGGGAACAAGAGGTTCTTCTGAATCTGCAAATGGTTCCGTATGCGGGACGGTGACAGTGCTTTTACTTATTGTATCGTCAACCAGGGGTAGAGACTGCGCCGGCAGTGCCGCGTCTGTAACCGCGTTGGACAATGAATCTGCAGAAAGAGGACGAGACGAAGGTCCAGCAGTTTCTAGATCATCATCGTCGTTACAGCTTCCACCTGCGCTTTCGTCACTGCTTGTACGCGGTTTCAAAGCGGCTTCAACACCAGCGGTCTTCTTAGGAGGCACTTTGGCCCCCGTCCACGCATCCCGTCTTTGTATCCATAGGCGTAGCCCAGGATTCCACTTCATCTCATCTTCAATTAACTTCCGCCTTTTCCTCCTTCTCTCTAGCATCGCGGCTTGCACGGCATCAGGAGATTCAAAACGGTAGGGATCGGTCGCTTCATCCCTAGCGTTCTGTTCTCCGTCTGAGTTGGAGCTATCCTCTCCTCGCATTCTCCATTCCAGAACATCCCTATCCTTTGGGATCGGCGATGGGGATTCTGCCTCTGACGAGGCTGAGGAGGACGAAGGACCCGAAGAAGTGGCCGGCGGGTCATACGACCAGTCGTTGCGGACTATTTGAAGAAGGTATCGCTTCGCTTCTCTAGTGGCATTTGCGCGCGCTTCCCTCGCTTTTTCCGCTGCAGTGGCATCCACCGTACGTGTCCTTTTGTGCAGAGAGGCGAAGAGGGTTGGATGATGAGGGTGGGAGGAAGAGTCGGGAATCTGGCGGGGCCGATCCATTATCCTGAGGCGATGACTTAGCTACGTGTGGAAGACTAGCTTAACTGACGTCTGAAGGCCCTTGATGCGGGCGATAGGCAGGATCAAGGAATGCATATAGAAACGTGAAGTACGAAGTAGAACAGGGAGATTAAGACGTGAACCTCTTGCCAAGTCGTTGGCGGCTCCCGTGGGTGGATGATGCTGGTTGAAGTTCTGGACTACCACGCGAGCTAAGTTGCTGAGCTAGTTTCTGGTTCGAGACGGAGATATCTCGCAATCCACTCGCGATCCATCATCGCACGCTTTTAAAATGCATCTAACAAGGGGAAACGCATACGACAAGGAGACCTCGCTGCTAGTCTCGCCATTGCTGGCAAATTTCGCATCGAACCGACTCCTGTAGGGAATTATGTATGACGTCGTCAGGCCACTTGCATCCTGGAAGATAATTTGGAGGGGAAACGGACTAGGCTTTGAAACCCTTCTCGTTGTATCATTTGGAGTCTTCCTCAAGAGTACCTTGTTGCTTATAGTCCTTAACCTCTAGGTTACGACGCACGTTATTACTCGCTATCCCAAGTGCACGTTCCTTTCCCCGCAAACGCGGTGTACGCATAACTACCGGTGTCACTACGGATAGGACACCTTGCGATGGTGAGAGATTATATAGCTCTGGCTGAAGTAGTGGCCTGTGTCAAGAAGCCATGCTGTATGGCCCGAGCACTTATATATACCGCGAAGAACGCATGGCTCCCCTAGTTATAGCTTAGGCCGCTCTCCCGAATTGAAGACTGCGACCTTAAGGCCTGAGAGTCCAGAGCTTCGACATGGATCCAGTCCTGGTATGGTCTTTGAATATCATCCGGCGCCCAATGCGACAAAGTGGGGGTGGAAAGGAGAGGCTCTGGTCGTGGCCCAAAGCCGGGCCGCCAAATGCGCGGGAGAAGCTTTAACAAGCCTAAGCGCTTTGTGTCATGCATTTCTGCATAACTTATGAGTACTCCATAGCTGGAGCAGAGATATTTTCACATTGGCTCCTTGCGCTGAAGCCACCAGTGAACACATGTGGTTCGCAAGCTGGTTTTGGAAGGCTACATAATCCTTCCCTGGATTCTCACTTGGATCCACGAAATCAGCGCCACCACCACCGAACAATACAGGCGGCCGGGTGAAGGATGGAGTATATTATACTCCAGAAGATTGATCAAAGAGGTGTGGTTAACTTTGTTGCACTCCTGAGGTTTCAGTTTCAAAAAGTGTACACATTCAAGAGAAGATATCGGTTAGTAGCTCGACTCGGACACCAGGAGTAACCAACTTATGAAAAGGGTATTTGAGGTCTACTATAGCACCTCCAAAAGACTTAAAGGAAAAAAGAGTTTCATAACCAAGGAATACATTTCTATCGTCTCGAATATAAGTACATTCTATAAATTTCCCGAACAGCTAATCCCATGCGCCCTGATGCAGATGTCCGATTTCGTGTTGTCCCAAGGCATAAAATCGCTAACGCCCAAAAAACCAATCAGTGACGGACACGACCCGTTTCTAGAGTAGGTTCGGGTGCGCCTGGAGGAGTGAATCCCCACCCAGCAGACTTCTTCCGCCGTCCTTTCCTATCGCCGTATTTCTCATCAAACTTCCTGATAGCCGTGAGGGACGACATATCTTCACTGATGGAAGCACTGATTTCCTCCATGGCGCGGTCGAAGTGATGAGATTTTAAGATACGGCGTTCAGGATATTTATACGGCTCGTCCCCTTTATGACGAATTGCAGCATCATATTCTTCTCGAACGCACGCTAGTGCAGCGGCGACAGACATGTTCTTCAAGTCTGAGCCGGAATAGAAGGGTGTCCGGCGGGCTAGATCGACCAAATCCACAGACTTATCGACAGCCTCGTCCTTCAGGTGGATTTTGAGAATCTCGTGGCGATCCTTTTCCGTAGGCAAGTCAACGAGAAGTCGACGGGGAAGACGCCGTAGCACCGCGTCATCTAGGTCAAAGGGTCTGTTGGTGGCAACCATGATAAAGGCAGAAGTCTCGCTCATACCATCCCATTCACGTAGGAACTGGTTGATTAACTCACGGTGCGAAGTGCGGTTGCTCGCACCGGTTCTCGAGCAGAAGATAGCATCCGCTTCGTCAATGAAAACAACGCAAGGGCTGAGTTTCTTGGCGAGTGTGAAAATGGCTTTGACATTCTTTTCTCCTTCGCCAACGTACATGTCATAAACTTCGGATCCGCTAACTTCTAGGACAGTAGCACCGCTTTCACGGGCAACAGCTTTGGCTAAGAGGGTCTTTCCAGTTCCTGGTGGCCCATAGAGCAATAGGCCAGGTATCTTATCCGTGGCAAGGACACCGTACGTGAACGCATCTGGGCGAACAAGAGATAAAGATGTCAAGGTCTTCAGTGCCTCAATTGTTTCCTGAGGCACATGGACGTCCTTAAAACTAGTGCGTATACTCTCCGCGTCCACAACCCCGTTGAGTAGCTTCTCTTCATGCGAATTGCACTTCAGCTTGGATTTATTGAAACGAGGCTTTTCTCGAGTCTGCTTCACAGGCTTGAGCTTTCCGCGGTAATCCCCCATCCATGCGCATTTGACCTGGTCACTCTTTTCGAAAACCTGGATGGCCTGTTCAATGTGGCCGAGTCCCAGCTCTTCGGTTGCCTTAACGGAACCAAGGGCAAGTGTAGCGATTCGATGAACGAGGTCGAATGGCCAATATTCAGCGTCAAGACCACATGTGCGAATTGTGGAGCTCTCCAAGGCCCAGGCTCGATTACTAAAGATGCTGCTTTCAGGTGGAGTGGATCCATTTAGCCTGGTTTTGAGCATGCTTTGCAAGTGCCGTATATTGATCTCCAATGTCCTCCGTTTTTCGTCCTCCGCAAATATATTCTCGGCGCTTTTGGAATCCATAGCTGGTGTAACAAAGATCGTTGTTGAATATCGATCATAGTCCCTGGGTATCAACTTTGAAAGCGATTTTCCTGAAGAGTTGTCGGTTTCTGAAGCAGACACGGTTCCGACCACGACAACCTTCTGCCCTTTCCGCCTTCTAGCTTGGACAGCTTTGTGAAGGGAGGATAAAAAAACCGAACCGGCTGTTGTATTTAAAAGGTCTTTGTAGTCCTGAATTTGAATTACCAAATCCTCATACTTGGTTCCGAGATTTTGTTGCTCACTTTCACCTTTTTCAGATGATTCTTCAGCCGCAGGGGTTGCCGATTTAGCTTTGGGGATTGATAAGAGTTTGTTCACGACTCGAAGTGACTGGGGATCGGTATCTGTATCGCTAAGGCCGCCATCCCGTCCTTGTGACATGACCACCTTAGCAACGCCGACGGATCCTCGCCCTCCGAATAAGCCTTGTAGTATGGATGACCCCAACATCGTAGGATCCGATATCCGCGATATGGGTATTGTAGCGCTACGCCTTCGATCTGTCGACTCGTTCTCATCTTCAATTTCATCTTCTGCTTCCTCCATCTCTTCGTCGGCTTCTCGCTGAGAGACTTTCTTGGTGGGATGGTATACCTCGTAACCTAGTGAAACCATCGGACTCGAGCGGGAATCCTCCTCTTGCTCTTGCTCCGCATAAAGTTCAGCAATATCTTGGGCGTTCAGAGTAATCACATGTGTATTGAAACTGCTTGCGACCTTCTTGACGACCGCATCGAGAAAAAGAATTCCGCTGTCACCAGGATACTGCAGAACTAAATGCACTTTTCTCACAGATGGATCATCGGCATAGCGGGGCGAAGGGACGGCTATTCCCGCTTGTATGACGGTGCGTATTTCATTCCAAACCTCCTCACTTATCATGTAACGGTATTCGGGAGGGGAATCTCCGGGATTGCTATTGCTGCCTCCGTTATTTCCATCGCCGCCAGTCGCAACCCGTTGCACCGCATCTTCCGCATCATGATTAGATCGGCCAATTCCGACAGTATGAGGGGGGTGTTGCAGAACCTCCGCCGTCTGTTCCGAGAGAACTATATTTCGTTCGCGGAACCACGTTGGGATAACAGCTCTCCGTGTAGACCGTTCCGCAAGCCTCCTATTTCTCATAGATCTGCGAACTGCAGATCCATAAGGACTTCGATCTCTTCTTAAAGTGGATTTTGCATCCTCCGTACATTGCTCTGCCTTTGTAATCTTCTGGGCCGTCGCGTCTCGGTGGCTCTCTGCCTCCTGATTGGACTCAATATCATTTTTCGACGAATCCTCGCTTTTGGCAGGGGTTGGAGGACCCGGAGAATCTCCGCTGGACGTTGTCAAAGATATCGACGTCCGAAACCCACGGACGAATCTAGGACAAGGACCAGAGGAGACAACATGGAATCGGCTTTGCTTGGCATGTCGCAACGAGAGCCGTGCGCATTGCATGTTGCAACCAGGGCAGAATCGGGGTCGCTGCCACTGGCTTAGAAACTTATCACTTGAGAGATGGCGGAAGACGCATGCGTATCTGCTCAATGCGGTTCCAGTTCACCAGGAACGGGTTCTCGAAGACTTTGCTTGCCTTCCCGCCAAGTTTGAGATTGACGCTTACATAACTTGGAAACCCCTTTGGAAGGTGTGTTAGGTAATCCAACTAGCACCTCGCTCACGTGACCCACATAGATTAGCCGAGATTCCCTTTTAGGTAGCTTAGCGGATGACAAGCATATGAGTCCTCCATCAGGTTATAGCCCTTTGCACTGAAGAGCAAGCATATAAGGTTGATTTACAGCCCAATTGGATATTGAAGCTTACAATCAACACCCTGAACAGCTATCCTTGTGGATAACAAGGTTTTACAAGCACTAAAGAAAGTGTATATTGAAGTAGACATCTCCTATACATACAAACCTCTGTAGCTTTCTGACACTGAGCTGAAGAGCAAGTTAAACCCTGTAGCTTTCTGGCACCTAATCAGAGAGTAAGCAAAATGCCTGCTAAACACATCTAGCAAGCAAATCAAGCACCTGGCAACACCAAAGCCATGATGAATTATACAGACAAACCAGAGCACCAAACCCCTGACCAGAAGGCTCTGATGAACCTTTCTATACCTCAAACCAAGCTTAGATGGTCAAGTAGGCTCAGAGATGACCAGCCAAATGACAAGCAGGAGCATAGAAAGAAGAGTGAACTTTAAATATTGTACAGAATGATGCTGCAACAACAAAAGACAGTGCAACAGCTAGTACAGTAAATAAGTCTCTTATCAGATCAAGCAAACACATCTGCAACAGTGCAGGAAAACCCAGAGCAAGAAGTTTAACAAGAAGAAAAAGAGGACCAAGAAATACACTTCAAGAATAAACTAAAAAAATATATCAGTAATCTTATAAACACAAATATACAAATCAGCAGAGCAATCATTCAATTCATAAAGATCTCAAAAACAGTAAAGAAGTCTATAATTCTGGCTAGAGCCAGCAACTATCTAGCATGAAGCAAAGCTATTCTAAAGATAGCTTATCAAGTGAATATCAAGAAGATTATTCTGGAAAAACAAGAGATCTCACTACAGCCAGAAAACTTAAAGATTTTATAATACTGGAATGTTCAGAATAAATAACTATACAGTCTAATCAACAGTATAATATCTGCACAAGCCAGAGAATACTTTAAGAAATCAGATAGTTTTAGTGCTTACAAACTCTAAAAAGCTGTAAGAATAGTCTTTTAAGAGAGATCTGAGATACAGCAGAAAAGTCTATTGACAGAGTTAGTGAGAATGACACTACAGTTCACTGGCTCAGAAAGAAATTATATAGAGAGATTTCTAGTAATTCATAAGAAATTTGAGAGATTAGAGTTCAAATAACTGGACTACACTCTATATAATATTTTGAAGATGAACATTATATCTTGATGAAGAGAGTTCATACAGAACTAATTTAATATGGCATGTCAGAGCAGAATAAATTTATCAGAGAAGAATTTAAAAGATCTATTAAAGAATATTCTTCATCAAATTCTCAAGAAAGACCAGAAGAAAGACAGCAGATCTATAAGATTAAATACAAATGCAACAACAAGCTCAGATCTCTAAAGATCTTATAAGAATACAAACTCCAAATTCAATTCAGAGAAGAGCTCACAGCAAAACTGGAACTGTTATATCTGTAGTAAATCTGGTCACTTAACTAAATTCTGCAGATCTAACAAGAATATAAAGCCTAATAAGTCTAAGAAAGACTCTAAGAGTAAAAGCAAGAAAGTAATAATAATTGCAACAGACAAGATCTATTTGATTTATAAAGCAGTCTTTTCTACAAGAGAAGCCTGTAAATTTACAAACAGATGAATTCTTGACTCTGGAGCCAGATTTCATGCAACCTCATGTACAGATCTAGTTCAAATGGACTCAAAGAGCCATGCAACATAACTGCTTATGGCAAACAGTTCAAAATCAGTTACCAGAGAATTTGGCACAGCCAGCATCCAAACTGACAACAGTAAATTGAGTATTAAAGAGGTTAGAATCATGCCTGATCTCCAGATTAATCTTATAAGCTTTGAGAAGCTTATACAAGACAGCTTTACAGTGGAACAGCTTTGTGTTAATGAAGAACACATCTTTCTACTAGAATCAGAAGATAAAATACAGAGCTTTAAAGCTGTACTTAATTGTAAGAATTTGTCTGCAAACCTCTTATACAGATAAACAACACCTGTGAGAGCTCAGAACCTCAGCTTGCAAGCTGTTGAAAGTATATGTGTTCTTGTGAGACACTAAGTCACATGCTTGCAAGCACATATAAAAGGCTGCCACTGCACAAATCTCTTGTTGAAAGTCAGTAGCAATCTTGTCTACAAGTTATATATAGCTGCTAATACCAGATCTCTCATCTTGTGTACTCTTTTCTATATACAATTCCTTCTATAGATTTATTATCATGCCAATCCACACATATAATTCTCATATTTTGCTACTCTTCTTTAATAATACCTGATACTGATATCAACATAAAGAAGCCAACTTTCTGAAGCTTATAAATTTGAGACACCAGCAAAAAATCTATCTGAAGAACAAATTCAAGTTTGTGAGAAGATAACAAATCTTGAAATTATTTCAGCTCTCTTAACTGTAAATGAAACTGAAACTAGTATTGCAATCTCAGAGAGAGAGTCTATCTTAGTATCAAGAGATAAAATCCAACAACTTTGCAAGAAAATCAAACTACTAAAGAGAATGACAAAATAGTAAGAAAGATTAAATAGTCTTCAGATCACCCAAAATCACTCATAAAGTGAATCTCTTGATATAATCATCTCTAACTTAATATCTGTGAAGCATTCATCAGTCTTGAGATTATCATAATATACAAAGCTCTATCAGACTAGCTTCTATACAAAATATCAGCAGTTCATCTCCAGTATTAAATTCACTTGTAATGTGAGCCAATTAGATGATGAGAAAACTCTCACATATGCTCTTACAGAACTTGATTACATTAAAAAAAATCTCTAGAAGGTTTACTGTAAAAACAACTCATTGAAGAATAACTCAAATGATCTCAAGAAATTTCTACATGTAGAACTAGAAGATTCAGTAAATCACATGTGAAACTTTTAACAAGCAATCTTCAATCTTTATAAGAGTTTAGATGAAACTGACCAAGTCTACCACTAATAATTTCTAGAGCTTGCAACAGAAATTGATGAAGAATTTGAAAGCTTTAAAAAAATGAAGAAGAATCTATATATAGAGAACTTGAATAAGCTCATGCAAGCTAAACTGAATAAAGAGCTGGAAATACCAGATAATATTGATAAGATAGTAGCACTGACTACCTGACTCTGATCAAGTGTGACAGCAGCTCTTGAAAAGAATGTCTTGTATATAAAGTTTATTAATCCAGTTAGAAGTGCTTACAGAGATATAAAGACTGATAAGTCAAGATTGCAAACAAATAAGAGAAGTTAACTTTAGAGACCTGCTTAGAAGATAGAGAAAGATCTTATCAAGAATTATGAAGCTTTAAGAAAAGAAGAAAAGTACTTTAAGTGTAGTTAAAAGAGACATCTTGCAAAAGACTGTTCTAAGATGAAGAGTAGCAAATAGAAAATTGAGGGGCTGTAAGTAGATAAAATTAATATAATAAAGTTGTTCAAGAAAAGTCTTCTTGCTCTTCCCTCTATTATTCTAGATGTGCAAAGCTCAACTGACAGAAGTATTATCTGGTCAGTACTAATAGACTCTGATTGTTAATCTCTAGTGATTAGTTCACAATTGGCTGTAAAGCTAGTGCTAGGGGTGCACAAGATGTCTACAGAGATTAAAACTGCTATAAATCATGAGAATATTACTTTTATGAAAGGAATTGTAAATATATTCTTTAAAGTCTGTAACTTTCAGAGAAACTGGCAGTTGTTCCATGAACAAGTAATAATTGTGAACATAAAAGATGAGATGCTAGTGAGTTTGAGCTGGCTGCAGTGACACAATTTCAAGATGTGTTTCAGAGAACTCAGACTAGAGTTTCAAACTGTATGTTGTGACCTGCTCACAAAGGTTAAACTAGTTAACCTCTCAGAGCTAGTGAAGGGAGAGAAGCCCATCTACATGATGACTCTCTGTAAATCAGAACAGATAGTGACAGTAGATCTAGATCTCCAGATACCAGAAGTCTACTACAAACTTGTGAAAGTATTTAGTAACAAGAGAGCTTGAAAGCTGCCACCACATTGTAAAGATGATTTGATTATAGATCTTGAGCTGGAGAAGCAGTCAGAATTTGGAAGAATATATAAATTTTTGCAAGCTGAACAAGAAATTCTTTGCAAATATCTGAGCAGTGCACTAACTTATAGATTTATCTGTTCTTTCAAGTTATCTACAGAAGCATCCATTCTGTTTATATTCAAGAAGAATGATGAACTAAGAATATGTGTGAACTATTATGATCTGAATTCAAAAATAGTCAAGAATAGATATTCTCTACTACTGATTGAAGATATATTGTATAAGCTTGTGGAAGCTGCAATATTTATTCAGTTGGATGTCAGGAATGCCTATTATAAATTGAGAATTTGTGAAGGGAATGAGTGAAAGACTGTATTTTGAACTTTATAGAAGCTATTTAAGTACTTGATAGTGTCTTTTAAACTTGTGAATGCATCACCAGCCTTCCAATCATATATTATGAAGGCACTTAGTGAATATCTGGATGTATTTGTGGTGGTCTATCTTGATGATGTGGTTGTGTACTTGGCTTGTGAAAAAGATCATGAGAAGCATGTGAAATTGATACTTAAGATACTCAAGAATGCAGGTCTTTATTACAAGCTGGTGAAGTGCAAGTTCAATGCTTGTGAGATTAACTACCTTGGGTATATTATAACACCAGAGAGTATTCTTATAAAGAAGAGCTGTGTGGACACTATTCTTGACTAGCCAGAGTCAATCAGTAAGAAAGAGATTCAGATCTTCTTAGAATTTGTGAACTTTTACAGGCACTTCATTTCAAGATTCTCTAGGATAGCTCACAGCCTGACTGCTTTTCTAAAGAGAGAAGAAACAAAGCTA